TCAGTACCTCCCAGGTGTGGTGACGTTGATCCAGTTCATGAGATTCATTAGTGTTTGGAGAGAAAACTGCTGATGCAGCAGAACTGAGCTCTGATTAAGATTCAAAACCAACTCCTCCATCGACCTGGGTTCCAGCTTCTTCACTTCTTCTCTTCTTTTTCTTAAGTGAAGATTTCTAATTACACCGAGGCGAGGAGGAGGAGGAGGAGGAGGACGGCTCCTGAACACTTCCTGTGTCACTAATAGCTGTGTTTAACGTGAGGAGAAAAGAACGCTGACGTGAGAGTAATTACACTGGTCACTGAAGCTGCAATTAGTCGGTGTGTGTGTGTGTGTGTGTGTGTGAGCATGGAGGTGTATGTAGAGCAGAAGAACCACACACACACACACACTCGACTCACGCCATGGCATGCAGGCGGACGATGTGGAGACGTGATGTAGACAGATGTGGACGGATGTGGACGGAGCAAACTGTTCATTTCATGTCAGGAGAAAAAAACGCTTCTTACAAGAAATCAGTGAAAAGGTGATGATGATAAAACTCTATTAACCTAAAACACACACACACACACACACACACAATCTCTCCTGTGTGTGTGTGTGTGTGTGTATAAAAGTGTTTAAAGTTTCTACATGAACAGCCAACACTTCAGAGTCAGGGATGTTATTCCCATAGCAACGAGTCAAGACGAGCTCCTGGTTACAGACGGTAAAGTCTGTGGAGCCTGAACAGCTGAGGCAGAAGGTCCTTCATCATCATCATCATCATCATCTTTATAATCTGACAACGGCACGTGATCTGGAGGGACGTGATCTGGAGGGACGTGATCTGGAGGGACGTGATCTGGAGGGACGGCATCATTTGGTTGAGGCTGTGTTTGACCTGTGTGTGGTTCTGATCAGTGTGTAGTTCAAAGGTCCAGATGAACCACCAACACACACACAAACAGCTGCTGACGTTTCTAATGTTGATATTTGTTTTTCCAGCATCCAATCACATTTGGATTTGGACGCTGCCTCTAATGACACTGATTCTCTGTTGGACTTTAACGAGCTCAGTTCAAACCTGAGCTGCTGTGGATCAAATACACTGATCCACAGGAGGTAAGAATGTTCTATTTGATCAATGTTTTAAACCCTGAAAATGTGAAAATCAGCTTTTGAACATTTTTAAAATTTCAGTCGAAGAAGCTGGAAATGTATCATAGTACTTTTTGACTCACCCCGTCTCTCACCCCGGCTCTCACCCCGTCCCTCACCCCGTCTCTCACCCTGTCCCTCACCCCGTCCCTCACCCGTTCTGTCTCACGTCTTTGTGAACGACCGTTCTATTCTCTCTCTGTTCCTTCTCTTCTTCTTCTTCTTCTTCTTCTTCTTTCTAAGATGTTTCATAAAAAACCAACTGTGCTTTAACGTCTGTGAAAGAACCGACCCAACGCTCTCTGCTGTGAAGAGATGTTTATCAACGCACACACTGATGCAGAGCGCACCCTGCTGGCCCAGCCTTCAAAAGTGCAGAAAGAAAAGTTCCAGCACAGTGTGGAGTCGGAACTCTTTCACAGGAGCCGGTTTAAACCAGCCTGTCAGACAGACTGACTGATCAGGGGTTATTTAAGGAGTCCAGAAGTACCGGCGATCGGTACTAACTGAATAAAGTCTCACCACGACTGAGGCTGGTTCTGAAGGTTCTGAAGGTTCTGAAGGTCAGTGGGAAAAAGAGTTGATTCAATTATTAACCATTAACTGAAGAAGCTGTGGCTTCACTTCCCACCTCCACCTCTCCTCCGGTGTCACATGACGTCACATGTTCCGCGTTACAATCCCAGGAAGATTTGAGTCGATAATGTCTGACTGACATCTCGTCAATCTGACAGGAAAAAGTTGCGGCGCTAACGTGACGACTCTCCAAAGAAACAAGGTTTGATTTTTGTCTAAACGTTGAAATCAGACGTCGTTGTCATTCTCTCCAACACAGAAAAAAAAAAAGTCACACCCTTTAAAATATTCTGAGATCAATCAGGGTTTAATTACTTAAATTAATCAATTAATTTCAGTGGGATTGAGGTGTGAAAAATCAATAAAGAAGTTAATTAAAAGCAGCGTGATCAATAACCATTGGTCGAAAAGTGACGTCAATCAAAACAAAGTCAGGATCTGGGGTTTCAACCTGTCGGAGGATTGAGCTGCACATCAATCACATCAATCACATTAACATTATCACCAGCAGGGGCAGCCGTGAGCTGAGGACGCAGCTCAAACATTCAGAGGTCAGAGGTCAGGTTGAAAAACAGTGGAATATTTGATCTGTTTCCAATTTCTGACAATTTACCAAAAAATAAATCAAAACAACAACGATTGATTCGCTGCAGGAAACGTTTGGCATCAACTGGCTCAAACTGGAATAGACACACACACACACACACACACACACACACCTGCCATCAGGGCCGGTCCTGAACCCACGACTCGTCAGTGGGTTCGTGACCCCCGACCTTACAGAGTTGTTCTAACACAGAATTCCTGTCTGTGGTTCCAGGCTGCAGCTGTGTGTGTTTTTCCTGACAGCATCCGTGGCCTTTTATTTCAAATGGAATATGGACCTGTGTCCATCTGTGACGCCGTCCAATTCATCACGCCGCTCACCGACCTCTCGGCTCCGATTACTGTCGATCACTCCTGACGGTCTAGACTGTTACGGAGTCTGAGCCACGTCAGTCCTGGACGGTTTGATAAAAATGAGGCGACAACTTCAGTCTCCACAGACACATAAATAAAACATTCTCCTTCCACAGGTTGTTCTCTGATATCCCTGATGTCGGGACTTGAACTGATGTTGGTTTTATTGAATCAGGTCAAAGATAAAGAATTCTGATCAGGTTTAGATCTGGTGCATCAGCAGACCAGCAGGTGGCGCCTCGACCTAAACAACTTCTGTTTTCATTTTACACAACTCGCAAAAGTGTTTCAACCTAAACGATGAGGACAGGACATCCTGACTCACTCTAATACTGTAGTACCCATCAAATACTAAACAAATACTTCAAGTATAAACTGAAACTTGGTCAGGTATCGAACCAAGAACCAGTCCTGAAGCCTAGTCCAGTCTGGGACCAATCAGAACCACCAGCAGTTTCCTTAATCAGGAAACAGAATTTCTAATATAGTACAACAGCTAGTACTGGTCACTAGTACTGGTAACTAGTACTGGTCACTCCTGCTGAGCTTCAGTTAAACTGACAAACTCAGTCTGACTCCACAGCAGCAGCAGCAGCAGCAGCAGCAGCAGCAGCAGCAGCGCTGAGGTCAAACCCGGCTCAGACGATCTGCCCACACTGCAGAGCTGTCTCCGTAAACCTCAGAGAGGGAGAGAGAGGAAGGGAGAGAGAGGAAGGGAGAGAGAGGAAGGGAGAGAGGGAGATGAAACTGTTCAGATGTGTGGGAGAGAAGCAGAGGAAGACGACGTCCACTTCCATTCACAGCCTTTGAAAACATCAGTTTCTGAAATACTGAGTGTTTGTCAGAGAAGACGAAGCAGAAAAGGTTGGACGTTTGGGCCAAACAACGACGACGACAACAACAACAACAGCTAGAAGTTCAGAGAAACGACGAGCAGCAGAGAAGAAGAAGAAGAGACTGACAGGTTGGTCTGTGACTTCCTGTCTGAACAGACAGAGTCTGGAACTGAACCCATAACAAACAGCCAAACCGTTGGGTTCATGTGATGACTGTTGTACGTGACAGTAACGACAAGGGTCGTCCTCGTCAGTGCTAACAGTTTAGACCCCGGGGGGTCTTAGACAACAGACCATAAAAACAAAAACAAAAAATTGAAGGTTCAAATCTTTGTAATTACTACATAATTAACACCAAACGTCGCCACACTGTGGTTGGAGGAGGGAAATATAACTGTAAGAAGTTGTGTAACTGACAAGTACTGGGAAGAAAAGTACAGACAGAAACACTTAGACGAGGGTACAGTTATTAATCACCGTCTGTAGGGGGCGCTGTTACAGTGCATTTCATTGATTCTAAATAAACTCTGTTTATTGGAGTTTATTTAGAATGAAGTAAATGACTGAGTTAATGACTGAGTTAATGACTGAGTTAATGACTGAGTTAATGACTGAGTTAATAACTTTGTTTCCTCTTTGTTGATTGGATCGTAGTTGATGCTCCACAGTTTGACTCATTGATGAAATAAGTTACTGTGTTCGTTGTAGTCGACACTCAGACGTGAGGAGTCGACACAGATGTAGTAAAGACGTTTGTTAGCATCATGCTAGTTCACGATACAGTATTATATCACAGAAGATTCTTTTTCTCTCCTTTAAAAATAACAGTTTCATCTGCAAAGATGTTGACATGAAAATAAACCAACATTCAAACATGGAAGAGAAGACTGAAGGCCACACCCCCAAAACCCACCCCCACAACCCTCCCCTCACCCCACAACACCCTCCCTCAAGCCCCTCCCCCCCACACACACACACACACTCACACACCTGTACTTCATGCCGGTGTATTTCCCCGTGGACTCTTTGAGGGAGATGTGTCGCGGCGTGACGGAGCCGAAGCTGCGGGCGATGATGGCCACGGTGCGGAACTTGGCCCTGGCCTGGTTCACCACGTTGGGGCTGGTGGCATTCTGCTTGCTGTGGTCACCGTTGCCCCTCTTCAGGTTGTGGTCAGTGCAGGCGATGGACACCTGCATGATGGCAGGAGGGCAGAGCCCAGAGTAGCCCGGGGTGACGGAGGGGTGGGACGGAGGGCCAGAGAAGGGAGGGGTCTCCCAGAGCTCGTTCTAGGAACCTCAACAAAGTGGGAGTCCAGAATTCCTCCAGAACTTTGGTCTCCTTCGGTTGACGTGGGTGAGCTCTCTGAAGTTCCTCACCTCAGTGCATCACTTCACACTGAAGGAAACACTGGTGGAACAGAAGAAGAAGAAGAAGAAGAAGAAGAAAAACAAAGTCCAGGTCCGTCGTCTGAAGACCAAGAAGAACAGAGAGTCTCTGGTTCTCAGACGACCGGAGTTCCTCCTGCGTCCTGCATCCAAAGAAGAAATTCTGGGCTGTGGACTGACTCTCAGAGGAGGTGGAGGTGGAGGTGGAGGTGGAGGTGGAGGTGGAGGTGGAGGGAGCAGCGAGCCAGAGCAGAGGAGAGGCAGAAGAGGGAGTGAAGCAGAGAGAGGAGCCGTGCAGGCACCGCGCTGAGTGCTGTGGTTGGTCTGACTGTGAGGGGGGAGAGAGCTGAGTGTGTGTGTGAGAGAGGGAGAGAGAGAGGGAGAGAGAGAGAGAGAGAGAGAGGAGTGGTGGAGGAGGAGTGAAGGGAGTCACTCTCTCTCTCTCTCACACACACACACCTACACACATCTCTCCCCCTTCTCCTCTCTCTTCTTCCTGCTCTGTCTTTCCGTCTTGTTTCATGTGGCCCAGATTCTCCGTCTTTTCTTCTGTTTCTTCTTCTTTTATATATTTTGCCCAGCAGGGCGGCGTCTTCGTCCACTGCCAACTGTATTTCTTCATTTCTCTTTTCTCCTTATTCCTAACCCAAAAACATTCACTCCACCAGCTCAGCCGACCCCTGACCCCACGACCCC